GTAAAGCGGCTGGGGCGCGAAGCTGACCACCCACTTCCAACTAGTTCCGAGGTCAAGAATACGTGGACCTATACATCTACTCCCCCATACGCCTTCATGGCGTAGTACTTAATTAAGCACAGGAATAACTTATTAATTAACTACCTCGATTTATGAAACCTTCATCTGTCTAACACGTGACATCTCGCCATTTCTTATAATGAGTTCCATAATGTGAAGGAACTATCGTCTGAGCTGTGACGCCGTGTAGTGTGGTAGGTTTCCGACGTTTCGGGGAAAGAAGGCTATGCCTCTTATCTGCAAAACAGAAGAGTAAGCCGTGAAAGTAGCAAATATAGTTCCTCGCCTTGAAGAAGGAAACAGTATGCTCCTCCGAATTGCTGGTAAATTTCTAACAGACTGTCCGGCGTCATATCCCAGAAGGCATTTCTTGAAGTCACCTCCTTCGAAATCTTAGAGATTCATTTGCTTTGGTGTGATGCCGTGTAGTATGGTAGAATATTACCAGTGTTTCGGATGAAGATACTGCCTCCATCTTCTGGGTCGAAGGATAAACCAAGCGTGCACAAACGAAGCTCTTCTGCTCTCGTGCTTGGCTTACTTTCCCTCTAAAACGTCGGTAAACATGTACCAGACTACACGGCGTCGCACCCCAGACGACAGTCTCCCCCCTCCCCACTTCACGCAGACCCAGGGGGGCGAGTACCCGGGTGTAACGCCCGGTCTGTTCTCCCATGTACACACCGAAGCTCGCTGACCTCAAAACATCGGGCACAAATGTCCAACAGTTTCACTTCTCGTCGTGCGTAATCGCGTGCCGCAGTGTGGCGTGTAGCTTGAAGAGAAAATTACACGTGTGGGAGCACTGAGTTGTCTATGTGACAATACGGGTTTGTCTGCCGCTTCAGAAACCGAAAGATTCGCCACAAATGGAAGTAAGGGAAACGCGACGTCCCTCCTGTGTTTAAAAACATCAGCGGTTATAATTTCCTTTTAAATGCATTTTTTCACGAAGCCAGTATATGATGGGCCTTAGGTGCGAGGTTTCGACCTGTGATATGGTAACATATATAATAACAATAATTACGATAATAATAGTAATGGCACGAATTTATAGTCGTGACTAATAATAACGGGTTATGGATTCACTGATTGGATATATTAACACCTACTTTTACAATTTCTCTTAATCACAATTAATTATAGCGCTATCGCTGGTCTACCCACTTCAAAAATAATTAGGACACGCTAAATCTTTTCAGTCTTCACTAGTCGTATCCTGGAAACGGGTTTATAAGAGTCTCACTGTTCCTAGAACACTCATAAAGTCTTGTTTTTCGCAGGCCGACTCTGTTTTACCCCATTTCTCATTCCGTACTTCTACACAGTACTACCAACTTCGGAACTCGACTCTCTTATAACCACACTGCACGAAACCCAAGGAAAACACCGGCTCTGAACAATTCATAGGAGTGTTTACCGCTCCGTTGCCTAGAAATTGACGTCCTATTGTTCTCACGGTACGCTTCTGGGGGAACGTGTTTAGCGACCTGTTGCCTAGCAATGGGCATGACGCGGACTACATAGAAAACAATTCTTGCAATAAATTTCCTATTGTTGCGTGAGCGTATTTCGGGCGTTGCCTAGAAATTGGTCTACATGTCACATAATAATAATAATAATAATAATAATAATAATAATAATAAAACTTTTTGAGCCACAGCCTTCCTTAGAAGATTCTGCTAGACTGCATCCAGCTTTCATTTCTTTGGATTTCGTGACAGTAACTGTTCTACAGAGCAAGGTCGTAAGCCCTGCGTCCAAGCCCCAATATGGCGGACCAGGTCCCTGTATTTATGTGGCCCAGTTTCCCTTACAACTCGCAGGGCTACGGTGGAGGTATTACAACCCACCTCCACAGGGGAAATAATACGTAACAATATCCGAGATGCATATCCGTAACTAGGGCAACCACAGACGTATCTGGAAATGATTCGCAGGGAGCGACCAGTACATGAATGAAAGTAAGTGGACAGTATCTTCAGTGGGATGGCGTGTAATGCTTAGTAAATCGCTTTCCAGTCCAACGCGCGAGTCCCGCTCTTACGAAACCGAGTCAAAATGAATTTAGCTCTGGCTGAATGGCATGGGATATGGAGCTAAACCGTTTTTGCACCAAACGTCTTGCTTTCATGATGCACAGGGGAACAATATCAGAGGCTTCCGTGCGCCATTCGGCGTCGCAGCTCTCGGCAGATTTAGAGATTTGCTATATATACGTATATAGTATATATGGGGGGGGGGTCACATTCAGTAGGTTAGCATTGTACTGATACACGTAAAAACTCGAGAGAAGGATTTTGCAATCTTGTAAAGAAAGCATCTCAGCATAAACATTACGTAACAAGTGTTTACACAGTAACGAACCGAAGTTAATTCCGAAGGGTTCTATCTTCTGCGATTTAACGCCGTGCAGTCCGTTGAACCGACGTTTCGGAGGAACATAACGCCTCAATTTTCAGGGCCGAAGAATAAGCCAAGGAAAATCTACTTGCCACCTGCTTTCACGATGCTTCGAGCATGAAGATGGTGGCGAAATATTGTTCCGAAACGGTGGGTTGAGTTCCAGCGGACTACGTGGCTTTACATCTCAGAGCTCTTCGTAACCATCGGTGTCAGAACCTCAAATCCTACGAAGTGCTCGCAATTCTGTTTTGGAAAATGCAACAACTTCAGAACTGGGCGTCTGCATTTCAGTCATTCAAAATGTTCATTTGACATTGCATTTGATGACATTTTGCTGACTACAGAAGCCATACGATTACGCAAGTGACTCGGGGGAGTGGAGTCCTTCTTGGCAACATAATATCACTAAAAGAGGCAACCTCGCCTTTTCTGGAATCCGAAGGCTAACTGCTGTGTTTGCAGGGGCTCGGCCGTGGGGACACACAAACACACGCGCACACGAATATGGATAGGAGAATGCAACTGAAGAAGGCACATGGCTTGAACTGGAATATATTATTCTAAACCCACTCTCCGGGTTAGATCTCTTCTTGGCCGCGCCATAGCTCAGGCGGTTAGTTGCTGTCTTCCCACCGCGGTGGCCCAGGTTCGATCCCGGGTCTGATCAAGTGGGATTTGTGGTCAACAAAGTGGCTCTGGGGCAGGTTTTCTCCGAGTACTTCGGTTTCTCCTGCCAATCTTCATTCTACCAATTGCTCCACAATCACCCTCACCTATCATCCGGGGCTGGTAGAATAGGCCAGAAGTGGCCGCAGTACAAGGGACTTAGTCCAACCCCGCTAGCAATAAAAAAACCTCGGTACTCGGTGGAGGTGTTAGCTTCACACTGCAGCCGGTTTACTCCCAGAAGCAACTGGAACACAATATAAGAGACTGGACGGGCCCCAGGGCCTATTTGGGCACTATAAAAAGAAAAAATCCTTTGCCCCTGCCGAGAACCTAAGCCTTACGCACAGGCCGTGGAGACGTCGAAGCTCCCACATTTTCTCTAGACAATGTGCTCACAGATGGCCGTGAGGTTGTCAGCCTTACTTCCTTTGCCCACAGGAAGATTCCTGGTAATCATTTCTGTTAGAGGCTGAGTCGATCAACTGAAAAAAATCCAATTACCTCATCGGCAATCGAACCCGCGACCTCCCGGTTTATGGTATACTGCCTCTCTTCAATATACGAAAGAAAATGAATTATAGTACTTTGTATGAGTAATTTCGGCGTTCGGGGTTTAGCCACGCCGTATGTTGAGGCTATTACAACTTTTCGGCTTCCATTACAATCGCCGAGACAACCAAGATGGCGACTGCGATTTACGTCGAAACGTCGCAACATCGTAACATCCGAAGTTAGAATCGTGCAGAGACCTCTGAAATGGAAGCACGTCAGAGATTTGTGTGCTCTTTATCTACAACTTGGGCAATAAATCCACAGCGCTGAATACTGCCTTGGGATGCACAACACAAACGGCAGTAGGGCCATCAGGAACTTGCTGCGCATGCGTCCGAACGTTGCTAGGAAACGGGGGATAAATGTGATATCTTGTTTCTCGATTCATTGTACTGCAGTCTGACAATATGAATGGGCGTAGTTTGTTCTCGCTTTTCTGTTGAACTAAAATTATTATAGCAAGAATGTAGATACCATCAGGAGCTCGTTCTGGCGTTGCTCAGAACCGACCAAATGAAGTTAACTGAAAATCAGTAGGGAAAAAATCCAACACAACTGAAATCAATCATATAGACTCTGAAGAGTTCTGATGATGGTGTATAACACTCAGGATTACAGGGTTTTTGGACTTTCCCCATTGTCCGGTATTCTAAAGAACACGACGTTTCGGAAGCCGGATCTGTTTCCGTCCTCAGGTGATGGGGGAGACACCTACTCTGTTGGGTCCCTTGGTAAGAGCTAACCTCAAGCACTGGAACCAGGGAACACGCTCACTTCCGTTCACACACCAACACATTCATCTTCCAACAGTCATCCTGCCATTCGACGCTACATTGTCTGACCATAAATAAGCTACAAACAAATGAATAAATTATTGTTAAGTGTCTGAGTTACAACGGCGTTAAAGCTGCAAGAGACGGACGTATAAAAACGTTATTTCTATATCTCTGTTGCTTTGATTGAGTTGCGATTTGCAATTAGACCAGTTTCTCGGTATGTAAAGTTGTCTCTGTGCTTAAGTGATGAGGCACCATGCTATGAAGACGTATGGGGGAGTACAAGTATGGCTCCACCTTTCTTGACGTCGGTACTACGTGGAGGTAAGTGGTGAGCTTCACGGTCCGGCCGCTTTATACTCAGGGTACCCATTGGGCAGGAAGCTGTGTGGGCCCCAGAACCAGAGTAAACAGAAGTCCCTTGCGCCTGCTGGGAATTGAACCCGGTTGTCCAGCATGTTGCTATCCCGGCTCCGTGTCTGGGTATGTAAGGTTTTCATATATATTCAGCTAAGCAGGCGTTTGGTTTGTTTTCAGTTGGTCACAATCACAGCCACGGCCACGGTGACGATCATGATCATGATCACACTACGGATCACCCACATCCCCACCATTAGCAGAGAGTCTGTGTGCAGAGACTGGGAGTGCGGTCGGACATGTCTTGCTGCCACGGACACACTGGACAAGAAGACGTGAAGCAAGTTCAAGCTCTGGGACGGCTTGAACATGCGAGATACTGGGGTCGAGTCTCGGCTGCGTTTCAGCTGTCATCAGTGAGATTTTGTAGGACCCCCCCCCCCCCAGTCTGTCAAGTTCAATGCTGTAATAATATTTCACAATTCATAATCATTCTACGTACAACTCATTTAGCTCTATGTAGACTATCCTGTGTAGTTTACATAGTATTCGTGTATATGTAAGATTTGAGGTTTTCACGGCGGTGACTATGAAGAAAGCCGTTTTCTGGGATGTGGTGCCGAATGACTCTTGTGTGAACTGACGTTTCGGAGGAACGTATCGCCTACATCTTCAGGGTAGAAGAAAAAAGAAGAAAAATCCGGGAACGAGGAAGTAGCGCGAGCAGGTGCTGCTCACGCTGGTTTCTCGCTCGCGGATTTTTCTTCTTGTTTCTTCTACCCTGAAGATGTAGGCGATACGTTCCTCCGAAACTTCGGTTAATATAATATCTACACTGCGCCACATCCCAGAAGATGGCGTTCTTCAAAATTAAATATGTACGAGTGTATATATTTGTATATAAATATATAATATATACGTGTAATTATGTATCAGGGTGGAGTAAAAATTAAATAAATTAAAAACAAAAGTAAAATGACAGGTTCTATGGATTTGAATGAAAAATCTTACAAGTTGTGTGGAACATACCCAAGTATGTGTAAAAAAAAAAGATACTTTCAGGTCGGCAGATTCAGTACACGGAGAATTATTAATATCAATTGGATTCTAAAAGGTTCTGACGATGGTATATAACATTCGGGAATTACTGGCTTTTTGGATTTTGTCCACCGTTCGGAGTTCTAAAAATGTAACAAAGAATATAAAGTTTCGGAAACCTGATCTGTTTCCACCGTCAGGTGAGGGGAGAAGACACCTACTACGGACCCAAGAGAGTAGGTGTCTCTTACCTTACCTGACGATGGAAGCAGATCCAGTTTTCGAAACGTTGTGTACTTTGGAACCCCGGACGATGCACAAAATGCAAAAACCCTGTAATTCCCGAACGTTATTCATTCTGAATGCCAAAAGCTGATGTTTTACATTCATAGGCATCTCGTCTGCTCTTATGAAAGTGCCGAATCACGCCACAGTTGAATTTCTCAGGTCTCGAGAAAGGCCGCCAAATTCTCCAGTTTAAAACCCGTGACATTGCTCAGTTTCGGGCGGTCTTACACAGTCTGTGTGTGAAACCCACTCACTGGAGTTACTGCAAGCCGCGCGGGTTCGTGTCCGTTCTGGGATCGATCAATGTAAAAGACCAATTGAAACCCTAATCTAAGAAAACCTGTTTCCGAACCAATAAATGAATGTGATGGAATTATAAATGAAAAGCGTATTTTTATCATGGAAACTCGGAAATATTTTTCTGTGTAACGAACCAACCGGACTGAACAGTTTGTGCACATACTTAGGTCGGCTCATTTACTGCTGGTCCTCGCCAGCACGGTCATTCTTGGGTCCGGGTCCCGCGGGACTCACGACCATATTTTTCTCATGACTCTGGGACTTGGACGACTACTGACCGCATAGTTAGATATGCCCCACTAAACTGACGCGATTTGCAATTAAAATCAGTACAGCCTTTCTTTTTTACCTCTGATGGTGTCGTTCACTGCACCACCACGCCATTAGCATCGTCTCGGGGGGGGGAGCAAGCCGATCATCTGCCCCTTTAGGATTTTTCTAAAAATTAAATTTGAAAAAAAAAAAAGCTGAACACAAAATACTAATTCCAGAAATTAAACATGCATTTTTAATATTCTCCTATCCTGATTACCTCCGAGCTAGCGGTACAGACACTGTTAGAGGGCTTGATGTATGTTCGTAAGTAACATCTCTGGTCTCCCCTCCTTGCAGGACTGGCTGCCCCCTTTGGAAACAAGAAGTTCTGGGAAGAAGTAATCGGCCACTTTCCTTTGAAAATACACGGTCTGAATAAAGCTGTCTCTGTAATAGGTCGTGGAGGCCAATAGGGTTGTGACGTCGAGGCTTCCACATTTTCTAGACAATCGGCGCACAGATGATGGCAAGGTTATCAGCCTTACGCGCCGGCCGTCCTTTACCCCAAGGAAGATTCCTGGTACTAATTTCTGTTAGAGGCTGATTCGAACCCAGGGTCACAGTGCTGTTGGAATAATTAGGTAAATGAAAAAAAATGCAATAAACGTATTGGGAATCGAACCCGCAACCTTCCGGCTTCTAGAATAGAGCCTCAACGAACTTCGCTAATGCCTGCCCCTTCACGGACCGCATAGAAAACGAAGCATATAGGGGGAATGCAAACACAGAAACAGCAAGGTGACCTCATAAGCCGGCTTTCCCTTTCTTGAAGATAAGGGAAGTAGGCTGAGGTGTACCCGGTATGTGCAGGAAGCGAGACACAACCGTGTGTGGCTGTCTGTAAGAACGCTGCTGGTGCAGTACCTTGTCCGTACTTGTGCTCTACGTCTTGTTCGCTTAATCAATCGTCCGACTGTTGCGTCAGCTGACGTAACGCTCCACATTCAGGGTCGCTTTGCCGTACATAACCTCACATTTCCCGCGTATCTTCCCACCTGAAGGACATAGCCGATAAATTTGCAAATGAAGACCCGCCCCGTTGGATTTGAGGCCCTCAAAACAGTTGCTATGCCCATCACAGTGGCCGGCCGCGCGGTCTAGGCCATCAACTATCTTCGCCCGCTCGAACACTGGGATCGTGGGTTCGAATTCACTTGAGTCATGGATGTATATGTGCGTTTCTTCTGTGTTTGTGCCGTCCTACGTGTAGGTAGCGGCCATACGACGGGCTGATTCCCTTCCAAGGAGTCCTACGGACTGTGTATAACATTATGAAACTGAAAAAGAGGCCAAGGCCCAACAAAGGGCTGTAGAGCCATAGATAGATGGACAGTTGAAAAATTTCGAAACGCAGTCCCACATAAGGGCGTCGGAAGGGAATAGGGCAATTCTGGGATCTACCGCTTCCACTGGATTTGGAGAAAAAGTGAAAATCGAAAAGAATAGGAAGTAAACAGAACATTAACACTAAAAATGGAAAGTATTTTAAAAATCTTCTATCGTCAATATCCCAGGACAATTAGTAAAAATAGTATTCAACGGTCCATACCTAATTTACTGGCCTCTGTTTGCACCCGTGGTCCAGTACAAGCTAACATAAACCGGAATGAGGCCTGGTTTTCCATACGTCCAGAGGTGGGGATATTTGTATGGACAGATCATGAGGAAACTCTTGGAAAATGTCACAGCATTTAGAATGCTTAATGCGTTATATAGCGACGGGTCAGAGTTCGAGTCTCGGTAGTAGTAAGATTCTTCTCGTCATCGTCCAGCCCGGTTCTGAGGTCCATCCAGCCCCTTATCCAATGAGTACCGGGGGCTCTTTCTCAGGGGTTAAAGCGGCCGGGGCCAATCAGTGCCGAGGTAACGAACACGTGGATATACACATCCATTCTTTTGCCGAGAACCGGGTTTCTAGCACATGCCGAGGAATGCAGCTCTTATGCTGCGCCTGTGAGAACATGAAACCAGGGTTACGAAGGCGTCTTCGGAAATTCAACGTGTCATAACAGCGGAGGAAGAATTATTTCTGTAATTTCAAGGTCTCCTGCCACGGTACATAGACTGTACAAGAAATGCTGATGTAACCTTCTGTGTGAGTCATTTGTCAATACGACTGTTTCATATCTGTTTAAATGAAAATAAAACTTTCCTTGGAAAAGTTACGAAATGGGATATATATGACCTACATGTTCTTTATCTTGACGATCGTATCATGTCTAGGCTTTTTTTTTTGTTGCTAGTGGGGTGGGACTAAGTCCCTTGTACTGTGGCCCCTTCTGGCCTATTGTACCAGCCCCAGATGATAGGTGAGGGTGATTGTGGAGCAATTGGTGGAATGAAGATTCGCAGGGGAAACCTGCCCCAGCGCCACTTGGTCCACCACAAATCCCACTTGACCAGACCCGGGATCGAACCTATGTCCAGACTTACGAAATATCTTCAAGGGTTTCCTCATTCGCCGAATTGGGCAGATAAAATAAACTTTCATCCGACCCTCTGCACATACACGTCTGTGTCTTAGACTTGACAGATCACAGGAAGTTCTCGCTCTTAAACTGAAATCGGCTCCAGGTTCGATCCCAGGTCCAGTCATGTGGGATTTGTGGTAGACCAAGTGAAACTAGGGCTCCTCCGAGTACCCAGGTTTCCCCTGCCACCTCCCAAAAAAGAAAGTGCTCAGTCAGTTAACCAAGATTTAAACCCAGTACTTCCCGAACATGAAGCAGGAACGGTAACGTGCAACCGCCATATTCTGACTCTCCTTGACAGCTGACACACCGGAAGTGCCTCAACTTCTGTTTCTTGCTAACACTAATGTGTTTAGTCTCCATATAACTCTTGCACTCACCCTGGGAATGCTGGAAGAGGGTTATTGATTTCCGACTGAACATGGCTGGCCTCCACGCAGCGCAGTCCGCAGTCCACATGGTCACAACGGCAGAACGGCAGAACGGCAGAACGGATGGCCTACTTACATTCTCTCTGAACTCCCTTCACTACTCTTCCTTTCCTTTTTCCTTTCTTAATTAGTTCTTTCATTCTCTTTTCACTTTCGCCCTTCTTTCTTCAATCATACCTCCATTCCTCTCATATTGTTCTTATTTTCCTTTTTTTCTCTTTCAGCACCGCTTTCATTATTTTCTTTATTTGTTTCTTTCCCTGGGACATCGGATACACAATTTTAGTGCAGCTCGTCGAGGGCTCCAGCGAGCCCCTTCCGAAGCGCGGGGCATTATCACACGGGTCTCACTCGTCTCGCTGCTGTCGGCGGGAGAGAGGACTCGGTAAATCCTCACTCTCCTTGGAAGATTTGAGGTTTTCACGGCGGTGACTACGAAGAAAGCAGTCTTCTGGGATGTGGCGCCGTATAGATATTGTGTTAACCGACGTTTCAGAGGAACGTATCGCCTCCATTATCAGGGCAGAAGACAAAAGAAGAAAATCCGCAACCAGCGTGAGCAGGTTGGGTACCGGAGGTTCTTTCCCCGGTCGTAAAGTGGCCGTGGTGTAAAGCTGACCACTCACCACCAAGAAGTGCCGAGGTCAAGAAAATGTGGGTCTACACCTCCACTCCCCCATACGCTTCCATTGGACAATTCGCAATTAGTTAAGCACAGGAACAACTTTACCTTTTACATTTACCGGTATTCTAAAGAATACAACGTTTCGGAAGCTGAATCTGTTTCTGTCCTCAGGTGAGGAGGGGGCGACTCCTTAGAAAGAGCTAACCTGTCACTGGACAACCCATGTCAGTCTGTCTGTCTATGGCTCTACATTCCTTTGTTAGACCTTGGCCGCTTTTTTCAGTTTCTTAATCCAATACAAAGTCAGTAGGCGTCCTTGGACGGGGGATCAGCCCGTCGCAAGGCCGCTACCTGCACACGCAGGAGAGCACAAACATAGAATAAACGCACAGAGACACCCATGCATTGAGTGGGATTCGAACCCACGATCCCAGTGTTTGAGCGGGCGAAGACCGTGCGGCCGTCAGCATCACTACAGCTATGTAAACACCTGAGACCACGCACTGCAGAGGGGCAGTATGCACAGACCCTAGCGGGGGGAGGGGAGTTGGGGTGCCCTGATGACGGGGCGTGCGCTTCTGGTAGGGTCACCCATGTTGCATATGTCGAAGGGTATGAGGCTGCAAGTTCATTTCGCGTTAAAATGCCTAACGAGGGATGCTGGTAATTATTTAATTAATTAATCTCACCGCCTATACAGCCCCCGTCTGGAACTGTTCTTCCAGAGGGGGCTGCTCTGCCTACCGTCTCTTCTGTCTCTTGGTGGAGTCATCGCGTCATCCAAGCAGGCACCAACGCAAACACCCATCCATCCAAAGATCAATCACACGTCAACTCACCAACACAGACGCTCATACATCCATCCAATTGTCGAACTAAGTTCAGACGCCAAATCCGATCAACTGGGGGCCATAATCCGAATTAATAAAGCAAAATAAAAAAGCCATAAAGACAAAAAAAAACCTAGAAAAGAGATAAATGGAAAATTCCGCAATATAGGTAGTGCTACTGTAATAAATTACTGTAGAGAATTTGTTTAAAAACTATAAAAAGAAAAAAAAGCTGAAATTCAAGATCTCCTTCATTCATTTCAAGCCAATCTTGATATTTTCTTGTTGGTTTCAGTCTCCCCAGCTGCCCTCAACACAGCCTGAAAGTCCTCTTGCTCCTAAATCCCACGTGTCTTTTAAAGTGTGTACTCAACTGTGAGCAGTTTCTTCATTTTTCAGATTTCGATCCGGATTAGCCGCGGTTTACTGTACATCATCATTTAATCAATTATCAATGCAATTATTCATCCATCAATCCATGCATACAGTTATCAACTCAACCATTTGTAAAATCTGAAATTTCACGGCGGCTAAAGTTGAAGAAATCTTCTCGGGTTATCCGCCGTCTCAGTCGGTTAAAAATTACCGACTTTTAGGGGCCTTCTTTGTCAGCAACCGCAGTGTCTGATATCAGCTCGTCAAAGAGGGCGCCCCACAAGAACAAGACCGAAACTGTCAAACAGCCACAGATTGGGCTCGACACCAAGACTGACTGACTGACCGTCAGTGGCAATTTGGCTTTGACTTTGAGCTTAGTCAGTAGGCAGCTGGACGGGAGTCCGTGAATAGAAGATTAGGAGAACGGCAGCCCAGGAGTTAGTCGAAGAACTGAGAGAATTGTAACGGAGTCGAACAGAAGACTTGGTGCACAACGAAGTGAGCGCGGAGGCTGAAGAATCTGCAATCTTAGAAGCCGTTACTAGGCCACGACTGTAAACACTTAGCGTGTGCTGTAGTGATTTGTAAATTGTGGAAATTTGCGATGGCGTCATAATTGAGTGTAGTCATGAGTCGTGTGTTAAAGTGGTCAGTAAATCCAATCTCCAATAAACCCCGTCGACAGTCACTCATGTATATATATATGGCCGCGTCATAGCTCAAGCGGTTAGTCACTGGTTTCCCACTGCGACGCCCCGGGTTCGATCCCGGGTCTGGTCAAGTGGGATTTGTGGTGGACAAAGTGGTGCTGGGGCAGGTTTTCTCCGAATACTTCGGTTTCCCCTGCCAATGTTCATTCCACCAATTGCTCCACAATCGCCCTCACCTATCATCTGGGGCTGGTACAATAGGCAAGAAGTGGCCGCAGTACAAGGGACTTAGTCCCACTACTAGCAATAAGGACAAAATATATACAACATGTTATTTTAAGTTCCTCCGAAGTCGCTCCCAATCAATTTTTAGGATATGAAACCGTAACAGACAAACTGATCAACCATGAACGTAGTTGCATAATCTGATTACTGATTTATTATGGCGGTTTTAAGTGGAAACCACTTCAATTTTTTAGTTTTTTCTTCTTCTCCAAGTTTAATTAGAATGATCAAGTCAAGGAGGATGACGTGGGCATGGCATGTAGCACGAATGGGGAGACGAGGAATGCGTGTAGTATATTGTTGGGAAAGCCAGAAGGAAAGAGACCACTGGGAAGACTAAGGCGTAGGTGGGTGGACAATATTAAAATAGATCTTAGAGAGATAGGATGGTATGGATTGGATTGATATGGCTCAGGATAAAGACCAGTGGAAGGCTCTTGTGAACATGACAACGAACCTTCGGGTTCCACAGAATTCTGGGAAATTCTTGAGTAGGTGCAGATTTGGCTTCTCCTCAAGAAGGGCTCAGCTCCATGAGTAAGTGCGTGAGCAGTGATGTGGGACAGTGTGTTTCACAAGAATGTGCACGAAGGGATCAGGTGTTATCAGTTGCACGTTACGTGGATGCAAACAAAACACCTGCGTCACTCGAATGTAACCTCTGTCACGTGTCAAGGGAAGGGCTCCGTAATCCTCGGTTCCTGGAATAACCCGTCGCGGGCAGACCACGTGCAGTGCTGGCACTCAAATGAATGTGGCTTTGGGAGAAACCGCCGAAGTCTTCACTGGAACCGGACCTTTCTCTCTCAGGCGGGAGCACGTACATCTAAGTCAGCTTGAAGGTAATGCTGGGATAGTACCTCAGACAGGCCACGACCGCACAGTCTATTGCGTTTACTGGCTACTCTTCCATGCTCATATCCATATACGGTATAAGGACCTGGACCAGAACCCGGGACGCCGGAGACTAACCGCCCGAGCTATGGCACGGACTCGCGTACCAGTTCATATTCGGCGCTAGTGACAGCAAGAGAGGGGCTCTGCTCCGCCACTGGCACCAAGTGCTCCTGAATATCGAGCAACGCCACTGATCCATGACAGGAAGTTTTTTTCTTCTTTTCCTTTTGGTAGAAGTTTCCCAGAACATGGAGAGAGGATGACTGCCTACCCCCCGACATCCGGGCTGAACCCACTGTGTCAAGGTCACTGCGTATCCTCCTCCGGGCGGGCTCCCACAGGACTGACAGGACCAGATCCTGTGCGCTCAACTGTCCCGTCAGGACATTGTTCCGGGATACAACGCTGTGTAGTTTCGGAGGCATATGCCGCCTCCATCTTGAAGGTAGAAGGATAAACCGAGAAGAGCCTTGCTTGGGACTAACTTCGCCGACAAGCGGAGGTCGCTCGATCGGTGAAGTTCTCTTGCGGACTAGAGGCCATGGAGTTTCTCTCCTTAAGAGAAGTAGGCTTACGGCATCTCAACGCTCTCTGTGTCTTTCCCCCTCATAAACTCCCTAGCCAGCTGAAGGATTTTCATGAAATTTCGTATAAAAATTATGCCATTTGAGGATACCCTAAAGTCGCGCTTTATAATATTGTGGCATGTAGAACTGTTTTGCTAGGCAACGACAGCGAAATAAGCAACTATACTACAGCCATTGCTAAGTAGTGATTCTGCAATGCTAGGCAATGGCACGTAGGCAACCCAACAGACATGACTGCAACAGAGGAACGGCATTTTCCGTGCGGTCCGTGCCGAGATGTTATAAGCAGGACAAATTAATCGTTGCAGTGAGTTAGATAACCGCTGGGTTTCAGTTGTGAGCTGTTGCTGTGAGAAGCTGCTAGCTGAGTTTGGGGACAGTTGGAGAACCCAGACGAAAGGGGAACGTCCGCCGTTGAAAGCCTCTTACCAAGCAACGGCTAGTGGAGATTGTAACAGACTGAGTTGGCCTAGTGTATGTAATAGTGCGAAGTATCAAAGAGTCCAGTAAATCCATTTACCAATCCCAACCCTGTCTATAATCACACTACATCACGTGACAATATTCTAGAGTCGGCAGTAGCAACATGGCGGACGCGCGAGCTTGTGAGGTACCACTGACCTCCATTTATTGTTGATGTCAAGAATGCGTGGATTTATACCTACACTTCCCATACGTGCTTATAGCGTAGGACTAACGTAGTTGAGCACAGGGACAACTTTACCTTACCCGGGGTAAAGCGGACAACTCTTCTCCATCTAGTGACGAAGCCAAGAATTAGTGGATGTACACCTCTGCGCAAGTAATTAGGAGCAGTACAAATCTGTTGTTGTGGTCCAGAAGCTGGAAGCACACGCCTAGATGACGTGGCCACCTGTTCCGCCCGCGCCGCGGCAGTTCAATCGAGCCAACTGGAGGCCGGTCACACGGAACAGCTCGCAGTCGTTAAGTTGCCGCTGAGGGGATAGGAGTTCGTTCCGCGTCTGGCCCGCTCCACTGCGACAAGCGTGTCCACGGAACCCACCGAGATAGAGCCTCTGGAGACTTCAGTCGCCATAATCGTAAACGTAATAAGGAGGACGCACACAAAAACAATAATACTCGATAACAATTCGGCGAGAAGTCTCGGTTACTATAATAAACAAAAACAAAACGAAAAGGTCCTCTTGTATGACGTTAAGAGTTTGTCTACCTCTCTCCCCTCCTACAACCACTACCAGTTCCCCTCCAAGAAGTCTGTGTTAGGCTAAGGTGGAGTGGATAGGTAAAAGTGACGTGTTGGGCAAGGCCTACAGCAGTTAACAATCGTTGCCGTGGTGAGGAGCAACGCTAAGTGAACTTTGTACAAGGAAGGCCTCGCCACGCGGTTGCGAGCCTCCAGTGGAGTTAACGAAGTAACTAGTGCAGACGGAACTGACGGGGACGCTTCCGTATACTTATTCGACTTTAAAATCCGTCACAAACCAAGTAATTTCTGATTACTTTGTATTCTGTAATGTTCAACTTTATGTTTCAAGATAGAATTCGAAAATGTTAAATGGCAAAGATGTTTTTAAACGTATCGAACACAGTGAATGATGTTTTGATCGATTAATATCGTGTTCGTCGCTAAATGACCCGCTTTTACATTACGCTTCGAGTGATGTGTGTACGTAAATTAGCGGAGTTTGAAGACAAAGACGCCGAGAAGTGTTCCGTGTTGAAGATATGTTAGATGCTATTGTCCCGTGGCAGATTTTTGGAAAATTACCGAGTCACGTAGTGTTCTTTTTTTTACGAAACCAGCCGCCCATGTTTTTGTTTTAAATAAATCAAGCTGTGCGTGGTTATCTTCATTCGTGAAATTAATTTAAAATAATGTGCAAGAATTCGAGTAACCACTCCAAAAATAAAATAGAATAATTTAATTTCACTGCAAACGTTAACTAATCGCAAAATTATCTTCTACTTAGGAATCGTGAGTGCAAAGAAAACGATTTACGTAGAACACGGTAAATGTTTCGGACACGACCGGCCGATTTCATAAAACAGAAACCGGTATCACGCAAGTCACGTATATTTACCGAGAGAACACGTTACATAGCACAAATTTGTTTCCTTGGAGTCTGATTGTGCTCACTGATAACCATAACAATTCAAGTTCGTTTGAAGACCGCGGTCTCACAAATGCGCATTTCCTGCCCGACTGCTGACAACCGCTACTGTCAGCTTAACTTTATTACTGGGGCCAGAGTAGCGATTTTGATATTATCTTCATAATTTTCAAACACTAATAATAAATCAAGATTTTATTTGAGAAGTCTTAAATTATAATTTTAAACCTTCATTAATATATAACAAATTTATATGTTTCATGATCACCGGCAATTTTAAAGTAATTAGAAAATACTTGGGTTTATAATTACAGCAAGTTCACAGCAAATTCCGTTTCACTTTCTTTCCCGCCACTGAAAACAGAGCGCGCCTGGAGCAAGTGTTAAGCAGGTTCAAGGAGAAAAACAAAACAGTTTCTTTTTGTGTTATCGGACAAGACACGGCGTCCCTTCAGTCCCGTCTCTCCGCACATTCTGTGACAGTGAAAGTTGCGATAATATATTTGTCTCTAAAATCCGCTCTTTCTGAACCAACAGTGCAACAGCTCCGGTGCTTTGTCTTTCTCTCCAACATCATGACGCCTGAAGGCCACGCAACCACATCCAAGGCTTACTTCTCCTTTTTTCACCTGGAAGTGAATGTTCACTTGCTGGTGTAGGGAATCAAGAAACCGGGTAGAAAGGTCGCACTGGGTGAGGAACGTCTTAAAAAAGAGCTCGCGAGAACCCGTTAATCCCCCCTCTCCGGGTACTGTCCTTCAGTGCGTCAGGAAGAGAAGGGTTCTAGGAATAGTGAAGTGTTAACTGTGAATTCAGCGAACGTGCGAAGTGTTGCGTGTCGGATGCTGAAGAAATTCATAGGTATAAGGCTTGACTCACCACAGGGTTTCTGGTCAGTGGGCGCGGGTAGTCCCGGGGGGATAGCACTGATGAAGCACGGTTGGAGTATGGCTCCTGACTTGAATGAGACCGAGTCGCTGTTCTCGGAGTTCTCCAGTCACGATCACGGCGACTCTCCGCTTAATGACAGCACCGTCGCACTGAAAATGACGGCTGCGGGATCAGAGTTGCTTGTCGCTAAAATTGTAGCGATGATAGTCCTTGGTTTCTGCTCTTTCTGCCTTGGCATTCTGCCCGTGAAACTTGCGAAGTGGTTAAAATGGAACAAAGAACCGACGTCGACGGCGAAATCTTCACCGCAGCCCTTCGTCATATCTCTGCTGCTGTGTTTCGGCGGCGGCGTCTTGCTGTACACGACCTTCATGCATCTGCAGCCGGAAGTGAGGGAAGGAATACAGGAGCTACAAAACACTGGCGAGCTACCAGAGTTCCGGCACGGTCTCCACTTCGCCGAACTCATCTTCTGTGTCGGCTTCTTCTTCGTGTACCTCGTCGAAGAACTCGTACACGCCGTTCTTGACCGCCGACCACACGAGCACGAGGATGAGGCTGTCCTTCACCGCACCATGAGTTTGCGCCGATGTTCGCGTCACCCGACACACAGCGGGGCTGACGGTGGAGATGGCACGGGGACTTTGATACCCAGAGTCAGCCTCAACAACTCTTCAGCTGCTGCAAAGAAGAACTTGACCAGCTCCGGAGACAACTTGGACAACGTTATTACTAACGGGAGTACGGGAAGTAGCATGTCTGCAAGTACACAAGGCCTGCTCAACAGCTCTCTGTCAACAATCCTGGTGCTGGACAGTGCGAAGCATTCCCCGCTTGATGCTGAAGCCCACATGACGGGGGGGCCTCTGGCGGAGTTGGGCTCGTCCAAACAAAATCACCACCACCACCATCACCAGCACGGTCACGGACATGGACACAGCCATGCGATTCCTTTCACAGATGAAGACGATGGCTCGTCAGCAAGTGGTTCAACTGTGGCCAAGTCCTTGCGCGGGCTGCTAGCGGTCCTAGCTCTGTCCTTCCATGCAGTGTTTGAGGGCTTGGCGGTGGGTCTCGAGAAGAGCGTGGGCAACGTGTGGTACTTATTTGCCGCTATCGCCACTCACAAACTGGTGATCGGGTTCTGTGTCGGTGTGGAACTGATCAGCACGCGAACGCGACTGGTGCTCATTTTCGTGTACATGGCCACGTTCGCCGTCGTGACGCCCATCGGGATTGGCGTCGGGATCGCCCTCAGCAACGACGGCGAGGAAGCTGGCACCAATACTGTGCCCACGGTGGTGCTCCAGGGTATGGCTGCAGGCACTCTGCTCTATGTCGTGTTCTTTGAGGTGCTCCAGAGAGAACGGGCCAACACGCAGTCTGGAATATGGCAGCTCGTCGCCATCATTGCTGGATTCGCTATCATGTTTGCCCTGCAGCTGCTCTGTAAGTGCCACTGCCTTGTGCTTGCAAGTGCAATCATACTAAAAGCATTTTAAATGTGGTCTGGCTACAGATCCAGATGTGCCGGATTCGATTCCCGGCGCTGCCAGATCTTCTGAGAAGTAGTGGGTCTGGAACGGGGTCCACTCAGCCTCGTGATGATAATCGAGGAGCCATTTCAAGGAAATAGCGGCTCCGGTCTAGAAAACCGAAATTAACGGCCGTGGGGATCCGTTGCGATGACCACGCGGCACCCTCTATCCACAAAAGTTGGCTCCAACTTCGCCGACAAGCGGTGGTCGCTTGGTCGGTATTGTTCGCGTGCGGACTAAAAGCCACGGATTTTTTTTACACTGCTTTATAAGTCAGCTACATCCTATTCTTGATTGTACTTTCAGCACTAAGCCATATTTTCATAAACAAATTTTGTCAGAATATTCTGTTGCAGTTGCTCTTTATCTCAGGTACATTCAATGTCTTGATTGAATCAGTGTTAATTGTGTGCATTGTCAAGGCCACTTCTCCTGAAGACCATCCACGCTCAATGAGAACAAGCCTTTCATATTCAGCAGTAGACTAATTTCGGTTTGTTACCTGTCTTAAGTGTTACTCTGATGATGGCTCAGTCTCGGCCACTTGTATGATTTCTAATATCATGTACCCCTCACCCAACTAACTAACTCTTGGAGATAAGTCCTTCTTGAGAAGCCACCAGTTATTCAGCTGCTCAATAATTTCCCACCATTTTATGGAGCCAGAAGGTTCATTATCGCGTTCACAAGATCCCACTGCTGGTCCTTATCCTGAGCCAGATTAATCCAGTCCATGCCACCTCATCATATACTGAATCTTAACCTTTATTTTTTCAGTTTCGTGGGGTGGGGGTGAGACTGAGTCCACTTTGTACGTCGGCCACTAACTGGCCTACTGTACCAGCCCCAGATGGTAGGTGAGGGTGTGGAGCAGTCGGTGGAATGAGAATTGGCAGGGGAAACCGAAGTACTCAGAGAAAACCAGTGCCATTTTGACCACCATAAATCCCACATGAATTGACCTGGGGCGGAACACGGGCCGCCGAGGTGAGAAGCCGGCGACTGACAGCCTTATCTTGTTCATTCACTGCTCCCCGATATGCATGTGTCGTCCTCTTGTGATCATCAGTTGTTCCGTGTTCGTGTGTGACCAGGAAGTATTTTGCATGTTCTGAAATGTCACGGTTTAAGCCCAAGCGTACAGAAGTGAAGGGCCACAGCCCAGTAGGTCACGTGACACCCATCTGTCTGTTGGAACGTGGCGCGAGTGTAACACCGAGCCGAACACGGGGAAGAAGGGAAGTACACCCTTATGGGGCTTACCTAGTTTTACTTCAATGTTATGGGATCAATTTTACTTAATCTACATTATAATGGAGCAACTTCGTAATTTTTATGATTTTAATCAATGAATACAGCACAGATTAGTAGACAGAAAGGACTGTAAATATGGGCCCATATGCTAGTTAAAATTGGTGCAATTCAAAACCACCTGATGATGACCAGTTGGATGGTTGAAACATTTGGTCTGTGTGGTCTAGTGGTCAGAGCCCCTGGCTACAGATCCAGATGTCCGGGTTCGATTCCCGGCGCTACCAGATTTTCTGAGAAGTAGTGGGTCTGGAACGGGGTCCACTCAGCCTCGTGAAGATAATTGAGGATTATTTCAAGGAAATAGCGGCTCCGGTCTAGAAAACTGTGGGGATCCGTTGCGCTGACCACGCGACACCCTCTATCCGCTGAAGTTGGCACTAACTTCGCCGACAAGCGGCGGTCGCTCGGTCGGTCGGTCGGTATAGTGCACTTGCGGACTAAAACCACGGAGTTTAGTGTTTTTTAGAAGAACGGGTATGCATCTGTCCACTTGAGCAGACGGAACGCGGCAATTACATTGGTCCTCGTGTGTACACTTTGTTGCATTCCTCACGTCTGAGTTTGTCTATTCCAGTTTGTGTGTGCTCGCTATCCTCTGTGGCGCTGACCTGAGTACGCGAATCTTCACGAGCTCGGTCTCCTCACAACTTTAGACCGATACGGGTTTCCTTGACCCTGCTGCCTTGCTCACTGTGCTCATTTGTTTCCTCTGCCTGTCACGTGGTGCGTTATCTGTTCCAGTTGAAGGCCGCATTGTCATGTTGTTCAGGACAACATGAATCCTTGTATTGTCCTTGTCTGTCTTGTGTATTTTCAGATCTAAACACAGTAAACCATCGTCGTAACAGANGGGGGGGGGGGGATGTTCGCTAAAAGCGAGTGAAGGGGTATTCACGGAAGTACAACCATAGGAGAGGTGCCAGGACAGCGTAGTCGGTATAGCGATTGGCTACGGGCTGGACGAGCGAGAGTTCGGAGTTTGAGTCCCGGTAGGGTGAAGAATTTTCACTTCTCCATGTCGTCCAGATCGGCTCTGGGGCCCACCCAACCTCCTATACAATGGGTGGCGGGGACTCTATCCCCGGGTGTAAAGCGGCCGGGGCGTGAAGCTGACCACTCACCTCCAACTAGTGCCGAAGTCAAGAACATGTGGATCTATACATCCACTCCTCTATACGCCTTAATGGCATAGTGCTTAATTAGTTAAGCACAGGGATAACTTTACTTTTTACACCATAGGCTACATAACCAATTCACGCAATAAACACAAAAGCACACAAAGTGGTTACATAAAGGTTTTTATTTGGGTAATTTTATTAAATCATTTTCTAACCACAAAACCTTCTTCTGCCTCAACATCTCTAAGAACTGCCAGTTGTACACAGCCAGATTTTGTCGGTTATAACGACGGTTTACTATACTTGAAGTTATTTCCTCCTCTGTTTTACACGTAATGCTGTTTATTTTGTTGCCTCTGCGTCTGGTTAAATTCCTGAGTTATTAGCTGTGGTGTGACATTCTCGCTGTCCTACAGAATGGCAAGGCATCAATGAACATTGTGAGGAAATTTATATGAAAAAATTTCCCAAAGAATTCTTGTTATAATTCGCATGCAAATACTTAGGCAGTGATGCTTGATGTAAGTTGACTCATGGCATTGCTGTTTTTCTGTACGTAAAACGAATTGCTGGGTAGCAAGAAATCCATGAGTAAGTTTTACAGACAGAAATGGTTTTATTGCCTTTAGTCTCGAGATTAACGGTAATCCTTGGGATCGAACTCAAATTCCTTTACATAAAAACTTGTTTGCTAACCACTGGACCCTCGGGAAATAAAAATCTGCGATTCAGAGTAACTCACGTTCAATCCGAGCCGTGTGCTTTGACCTCAAAAACCATTCACCTGGAAACGGCAGTACAGACTATTCCCAAAACGCGCGTATCGGATGCTACTACATTGCAGAGAACCACAAACGGAGAATAGTGCCTAGTCTCGGAGACGCGATACCACGACAGACATCTCAATCGACTGAAGCGCGAATGTTACCTACGTGGTATTTAAAAATTCAGTACGTACCTCACCGAAAACACCGCATTTCCATAAAAAAGAAAGAAGAAAAATAACTTCTAGGAAGAACTAGTAGCTTACTTTCCTCTGACATGGCGCGTCGAATAATTATATTATTGCTTGTGTATCGTTGCCGCGGTAACGTTTTTGCCGAGCCGTTTCCTGGAAACGATAAGGGAATACACATGCATTATGCAGACGCACAGACTGATGGGAGGAATTTATTGTGGGCTCAGGTGCACATAATTTCATAAACATTGGTTCAGCCATTCAGAAGTTGATGGGGGGGCGGATTACACTTTTATTTTTTCAAGGTAAGGAAAGTGGGCTAAGAACTCAACTAATGCTGGAGAGCTTATTGGAAATAATCGCCGTTTATTCTGAGAATTATATGAAATAATCAAGATGGCTGGAGAGAAACAGTTTCCTGATGTTAAACCGGGCGGCCTACGCGCCTTAAAGGAGTCACCTTTCTTTTCAACCCCCGCGAACACACCGTGCTCTGGGCAGGAAGTCCCACTAAATACGGCCTGTGGCGCCCACATGGCCCCAGCGAACAGGGTGGAGGTTACTCTGCACAACATGTACAGCTCTCGAGGTGGCGTTGGAGTGTGACATCGTGCAGCCTGGTAGTTACCAACATTTCGGAGGAAACTGCTGCCTCCATCTTCAGGGTAGAAAAGTGAGAGAAGTTGAAGTGTATCTGCGCATTGTATTGGCTCACGCAGAACCACTCTAACTGGAATTCGCTGCGCCCTTCCTTATCCTTCTCTGCATAATCCCCCATCGTCAAGGTCCAGCTTACTTTCTTAGCCTGAAAAAAAATATGAGGCTTATGAGATCACCTTGCTGTCTGTCTGTGTACTCCCCCTAATTTTTTGTTTTCTACGCAGTCCGTGTCGTATCAAAGGGAAGTAGGCGATTAGTTTTTACCAGAACCTCTTATTTCACGCTCGGAATAATCTTCTGCACTGAAGATGTAGGCAGAATATTTCTCCGAAACGTTGAGGGTGCCGCGTCCCAGAATGCAGTACGCTTTGTGTGCATTATGCATTAAAAGGACGGACGGTGTTTCTCTCCTGTGTAAATTTCCACACGATGCTCTTTATTTTCACGAGCACCTGTTACATCAATACAACTTTCACCCGCCGTGAGGTTTGCTGGGCAGCTGTGAGGGACCCCTCGCTTGTGCAGCACTGTATGCGGGTTATGCTGAGGCAGCCAGATCTGAGGCTCTCTCGGCAGTGTAGTCTGTACAAGTTTCGGAGGAAATTAGTGGCTCCATCTTCAGAGCAGAAGAATAAGCTAAGTTAGCAGCGAGCAGAGATCTACGCCATGGAGAATTTTCCCAACGTTTCGGAGGAACGTAACTGCTTCCACTTTTAAGGTAGAAGCGTGCTGTCTTACACCCTGAAGACGGAGGCAATACTTTCCTCCGAAATTTAATTTAACATCTACTAGTCCACATGCCAGAAGACAATATTCTTCATGATGAATAAGCTATCGCGGACAGCCGACAAGAGGTAGTTC